TATTATTATTATTATGCATAGGGAACATGTATAGCCACTTTAGTTGCCGATGCGTCCTACAGAGCAAAACAGATCCTCAGGAAAAATATTAAGTAGCTCTAAGGCTAATTCCTATAGTCCTAATTAAAACCAGCCCATTAAATCAAGAGAATATACTGTATAACTAAGTGTTTATGCAAGAAGCCTCATCCATTAAACAGGTCTACTCCAACAGAGACTAAGAACTGGATTTCTCCCTAAATCTGGAAGTAATATTAGTCTGGCAAAAGCAGCAATAACAGCACAATCCTGAACAGGTTTACTTACTATCTATGGATGTGAAAACTGCACAGTAAATAAAGCTGACAGGAAGCAAGTGGATTACTCTGAAGTATGGTTATAGACTTCCAGGCCTCCTTTGGGGTGGTCACCTGCAGCATCAAAGCTTTGAGGGAGTGTGTGGTGCGGATGGAAAATCTCAGGGAGAGATGGAGGTTCTCCAACAAGCCAGAAGGTCCCAAGCTACTAAGGGCTTTGCATGTCAACACTGACACCTTGAATCTGGCATGGAAGCATACAGGCAAGCAGTGCAAATGAACCAGACTGGGGAGATATGATGATATCTCAAGATACCTCTAACCTGCCTGGTTGCTGTATTTTGCACCTGTTGAAGCTTCCAAGCCATCTTCAAGAGTAGCCTCACACAGAAAGCATTGGAATAGCCAATCTTCAATGCATGAACTAGTATTATCAGGGATTTTCTATTTAGCTAGGGACGCAGGTGTGCAATTTGCCTAAGCTGACATTCATTGACTCAATAGAGGAAGCCACAGCCTTGATCTTGTAAGACCTAAGCCAAGCTGTTAATGATACGACCTTTTGGAGGTAGTTAATTCATAGGGTGGCCATGGGCTATAAACTATTTGATAGCACACAAAAACAAAGCTCCTGCATGAAGAAGATATGGAATTTTTTGTTCGAATTTTGAACCACACTCACACACCCAGTTCTATATGCAAGAAGCACCATTACCACTGCTCTTCTACATCTCCTTAGCTCGGGTGTCATCCAGCTTTGATCCAGGCATAAGATGGTGCTTCTTCTATAGTTACAAACTAATACACCAGACTGAAGTACATCAAAAGCATAATTAAGCACTAAAAACAGAACTCCGGTTCAAATATGTTAGACTCACAGGTGTAATGATCCCAGTGTTGCTTTAGAAATAGGTATGCAGCCTACAAGGAGTAGTACTTTCAATCTCAGTCTAGGGAGGTAAAGGCTCATGATGGAAAGGAAAGGGAGTTAATGCAAAAATATTTGATATCAATCTTAATATAAATGAGTTTTGTCAAATAAAGCAAGATGCAAGTTATCAAAGCTCAAAAAAAGGAAAAAGAAAAAGAAAAGAATGTATTGTGTGGTGAAAGAAACACTTACTTTGGCAATTGCTGTCAAACAGGTTGCTGAACAGTGGGGCCCAGATAGTTTTATATATAAAGTGAACCAGGCTTGCTAAACCTGCTTGAAACGTACATTTGACCTTAAGGAACACAGTATGTAAGACAGCACTGGAAATACTTAACAAGTGTATTCAAAAGCAAGACCATAGGAGTGTTGTTTTAACCTAAGCCTTTGTAATCGTTCTTGCACAGGAGTAAGGCCTCTTTAGAATATAGTCTTGCCTTCAGTGCAGGAAATCATATTTGTATATGTAGGTATATGCTAGGTATGTACAGACAGAGAAATGGCTGCCCGGTCACAGTGTTCTCCCACAGCCATCACATAAAGTTTTCTTGCAGAGAAGAGTCTCCCCCCGCCCCCCAATTCAGTTCCTGGCAGTTCCAGGTAGGTCTTGGAAAGAATCCTAAATAACCCTTGGAGAGGTACTGCCAGCCAGTGCTGACAATACTGGGGTGGATGGACTAATAGTCTGACTGAGCAAAACACAGCTGTCTGGGACATGAAGTGACTCTTGTATCTGACATGCAGCTGTTTCTTACATGAACAGGTTCTCTATGGAGAAAAGATTTTAAATATAGAACAAAATAGAAAGTGGCATTAGTGTGAGAAAAACAACCGCTGACTGCATTTCAAGTGGACTCCAAACACAAAAGTTCATGCTGAAATAAATCTGTTAAACCAAACATTCCCCACTACCACCACCAGTTTTCCCACCTTCTTTGTTAGATCCAATTCAAATATGGACTATTCAACAATTCTTTTTCTTTTTCTGGAGGAGGGTGTTTTCTTTCCTACTCTCCTAGCCAAATAACTCCTTATTTGAACTTAAGAGAGAGCTAGTAGAAGTTCCTTTGGGAGGCTCCGGCTCATCATATCCACAGCCATTGCTCATGCTAGCTACAGATCCTGAGCATTGTAGTCCATAAAGGGTTAAGTTTCCCTGCTTCTCTTGAGTGTTTCAAAAAGTTTTAAAGAAAAAGACTTGACTTCTGTAGTCAGCTTTGTCTATGGTTTTTTTTTGTTATTGTTTCAAGGGAGAAAAACACAGTTAATCGGCCCCTTGCATGGAGTGCCTGACTCATGTACTATGGATGTGTAATAAAGAAGGCTGTTTCTTCACCATACAACATTCACCAGAGGCACCTCACAAGAGTGCAATTAGCTACTGTTGTCCAAAGTGATGCAAGGTATTTTTCCCCTAAAGTTCATCTTTCTGATAAGTTCTGTAGATAGTCACTAAATAAAATATTGCAATAATGCAAGACAACAAACAAAATTCAGACAATTACTTTTGAAATGTATTTAGTTACAGTTTTGACCCCAGGCCCCAATAGTTGCTGCTATAATTACAATTTCAAAAAGTAGTTCTTTACTTTTCTGTTTCCAAAAGTAGCTGAAACAATGACTTTCTCTAATAATTAATTTGAATTCTATGAGCCGCTAGCCTATGGTACAAAGTGCATTCTCCATTATCATCTCAACATCCACAATGAAGTGTAAAACACAGCACTTGAACCTAATGATATTCCTCCCCGATTCAGTGAGGCTGCACACCAATAAACAGAAAGATAACTGAAGGTTCCAGTCACATAGCAAAAGAAGTTCAGGTGTCCCTTGTTAAGTTGCAGGAAGAGTGTAATGTAATTGTTCCTTGTTACAGGTAGGTAACTCACTACTTATAACAAGTTTGACTTCCAAACTCTATTAATTATTAATCTCACTGACTGTTTTCAAGGCAGAGAATGAGGGGCAGGAATGAAAGGGGCTGGAGTCATCAAATCGCTTATGAGTTACATTTTTTTGAAAGAGTAACTCAGTGGTAGAGACATTTTTTGAGCAGAAAAGACCTCAGGTTCAGTTTCCTAGCATCACCAGGAGGCAGTGGGAAATATCCCTGCCTGAACCCCTGAAAAGCTGCTGCCTGTCAGACCTGACAATCCTAATCTAGATGGACAAGGGGTCTAGCTTGGTAGACAGGCTTCTTCCTGTGTTCCTAGGACTAGGACACACACCACACCCCTACACTTTAATCGGTCCCAATAACATTAGCTGTTTCTTTTGTTTCTTATCGTCATCAGAAAGTCTGCCCTTTGCAGAAATTTAGCTATTCTCCCCATAGCTTAGAAGCAAATGTACAATATTGGTGTGTTAATATTAGCTATTCTCCCCATAGCTTAGAAGCAAACGTCTTGTACAATATTGGTGTGTTAATACATGTGTGTGATGTCACCTCCCTGGTAACTAGGTGGTTGTCAGGGGAATATATTTCAAGTTTCCTTGAAGCACAAAAGAGCACAAACAGGGTGTGTTTTTTTGGTTCATGCGCACATTAGCTATTGACCTGGGTGGGTGTGTTTAAGCTTGGTATCTGAACTTTCAAATTGGGATGTGATTTTTTTCCTGAATTTGGGCCAACCAACTGTATTTTTAAGGCATCACCCAACCATTTTTTATAAGCTTCTATGTATCTGAATGAGGGATCAGATGCAAATTAGTAACATCTGAGTTCTAAAGGAAGAAATCAGAGATAGATAAGATGTACTGTACCTAATCAGCACCAACAAATAATTGCTCCAGAATCCATGTATTAGATGCTTAACTGCTTACTATGTGGCATCTGTAACCACATGGAACTGGGTATATATATGTGCCTTATGTCAAAGCTAATGTTTTTAATCTTCTGTCATTCACCAGGTGAATATGCATTGCTATTGAGAGATAATAACCATTTGCCTAGGGTGGAGACTGCAAGTATGTGTCTTCCGATCACAACAGGACTTCCAGTTAACCGTAAATACTATGAGCTGAAGCAGCATCCTTTATCCAAACTGGTCCTTGCTCTGTTTAATTTGCACACAGCAGAGATAGATGCTGAGACGCAAAAGCTCTCTGGAAGCAAAACCTTGTCTTCTAACCTGAGCCATTCTGCATATTCTCTAAGATATGTATTTGATATCTCTCTAAAAAGAAATTAAATTATACTTTAATTGAGAAGATTGGAGCATACTGCTTAAAATATGGAGGAGAAAAGCCCTTGGTTCAAGTATGATCTCAGCCATTATCTTATCACATGCTCCAGCTTTAGGTAAAAAAATGTTTCTCAACTCTGCAGCTGTGACAGAAGGGCAGTACAGTATAGACCTTTGATTGTACATTAGTCACATAGATTACCGACATAATGTGTGTATATACTTTCCCTGCTCCTTTGAGCATTTATGGAAAAGGATGATATATTAATATTTTAGAGGATAGCAAGGACACTATCTCTCTGAATTCCTTGCTGTCCAAAGGAAGAGCATGCCCAGGCCATCTGCAAATCAAGTCCTGCCAGCCTGACTGAGATCACAGGGGAGCCCGCCTGTGTCCCATGCATGGGGCTGGCCTGTTTTTATTCCAGCAGGCTTCCTGTGATTTTCAATAGCAGCGCAGGCACATCTTTCAAAAGTGCAGCTTTGCCTTACCTGCAGAGGGAGTGCTGAAGGTCAGCCTCTTTCCCAGCTGTTGAAGACACAGGAGTACTGTTACAAAATTAAAAGGCAACAAAGCCAAGATGCATGTTAGATAAACGGTATTGCTAAATATCCACTACAGTGTGGCATTTTATGTTCAGAACTGTAAACATTGACTCTATTTCTACTTCCTTTCCATTATTATTATTGGTATTTTTCAGTTATGTAAGAACAGAGCAACATGTTATTCAATTAATAACATGCAACACAATTGTGGTAATCATTTTTGTATAATTGTGACTTTACAAAATCCTTTTATTATTTTGTAGTTATGTTCTGTTATTTGCAATGCCCATCCACAGTGTTCAATGATTTTTGGTGGTTCTATATAATGTAACCATCATTATCTTAGAACTGCAGAGCTGGAAGGGACCTGATGGATCATTGATTTTAGGCTTTGTCAAGAAGGCTCATTGGAGAATCAAACTCCCAACCTCTGGCTCCATAGCCGGATACCTAAATCACCCAGCTCTCTGTTTGAATTCTACCACTTTTGATAATAAGAGCTCTGTGGTCTTCATTATTTCTTCCCTTCTCTTTTAAACCAACACAGAATGTGACGTTCTCAACTTTAAGTAGAGCAGTCACATTGAGGAAGGGGAAAGATGATCTATTGGGACTACTATTCCCCCGGAAACAGCTATTTAACCTACCGTGGAGAAAATACAAGTTTCATTATACTTCCTGTGTGACTGGTAGATGCAACATACCTCCACCCTTCTGCCTAAACTTCAGTTTACAAAGAGAAGCATGTTAGTGATCTGAACTTCAGGTGCCATGGGCCTGATCCAGTTAAGAATCACAGAAGGGGACAAAGCATTAAAGTTCCCAAAGGCGCTGTGGGTTTTTTTGGAGTCAAAAAGGAAATAATGTGCCTCTGTATGTGCAAACCTCCTGAAGTGAGCAAAACTGCATGTTTAGGCCTTAATGTGAGGATTTTTGGATTTTGTATTTCCTGGTGTGGTGGCATTTAATGTAAGATGGCCCTTACCTGACTGGCATTTAAAACCTGAACAAAAATGTATTTGACATTGTTAAAGGTTTTTATTCTTTCATTGTAATGTTTATATTGGTCACTAGAGGGCAATAGTGGCTAAATAAAACCAATCTTCAATTACATTTCTCTTTCAAGTTTAAAATTCTCTAAGTATAAGGACATAATATGTTTTATTTTACTTTCAGCTTGCCCAAATATCCATGCTTTATTATTATTATTAGTTTTATTTTACTTTGAGCTTGCCTAAATATCCATGCAGAAGGTAATTAAAGGACAAACCATGCCTGTTTATGAAACACTGCATATTAATAAGCAATTTGTTCTAGTTAAACCATTGAGATTGCTTATTAGTCAAGGAAGGTGCTATAACTTTACAAATAAATGAACACAATAATCTTTGTAATATAGAATCCCCTATAGCATTGGTTCTCAACCTTGGATAACCCAGGTATTCTTGGACTGCAGTTCCCAGAAGCCTTCACCACTAGCTGTGCTGGCTGGAGTTTCTGGGAATTGCAGTCCAAGAACACCTGGGTTACTCAAGGTTGGGAACCATTGGCTTAGAGAATGAGTTCTGACATTGCTTAGTCAAGAATAACTATTTTATTAATAACTATTTTTGGTGTGGGTTGGTGCACTCTAGATTGCATGCACAGGGAACAGACTAAAATCAAACCCTGCAACTGTTAAAGCTGCCAAGGCTCCTTCTGGTATCATGAAGCAGCTTAACAAATGTGTTGCTTCAGGATATCAGCAAATCGAACACTATCTCTGTTCCTGATTAGACGTGGGGACAAATATAAAAATGAATCAGGATATTCGTGACGTATCCCTGATTCGTTAGATACTCATTGCTTAGTATTCTTGGGATCCAGAGACCCCTAATAAATACGAAGCAACGAATATAACACTTTTATATTTGTTCTTTCATTCCCTATCTGCTTATGCACCCACAGATCAGCTGTTCCTCGGGGGCATAAGCAGAGAGGATTGCTATGTCCCACATGGCATAAGAAGAGGAGGGAAGGGATCAAAGGGATCCCCCAGCCTGTGGCTGTGGGATTGCTTTGATCCCTGCTTTCCCTCCTCTTCCTATCCCCCACAGGGCATAGTAAGAAGGGGGAAAGCAGGAACCAAAAGCCATCCTGCAGCCGTGGGCTGGGGGAGGGAAAGAAAAGAAAAGACCCAATGAATGACGGATTGATTTGTTATTTGTTGGGTCACTGGGGGCCAATTTGTGGTTCATGGGTTGTCAAACTTGCTGAAGTGCCATTTTGGCGCTTCATCCCCATCTCTATTCCTGATCAAAACCATGGCTGCAAACAGTTTCTTGATTGGCACTATATACAAGTAAAATAAAATATTTTTAAAATTTAATGTAAATGATTAGGCACATCAGATGTAAAACAAAATCCACTTCCTTTGTCTCTCTGCCAAGCGTGTTCAGATTTTTTGAACTAGATAGGTCCTCAATTCTTTCATTCTATGTTCAATTGGTGATTGACCTATTATAAGTGTAAATGTTATGAAAAGACAAGCATTTTTAGTAAATGAGGAGCATGTCCTCTAAATCAGGGGCCCCCAACTCCCAGTCCACAGACAGGTCCCGGTCCATGGCCTTGCCAGGACTGGGCCACAGAGACAAATCTCCTGCCCCCCCATGCAAAGACACATGCATGCCCCTCCCACACACAGCCCCTACCATGCACACAGGGATGCCCCTGGCCACTCCCATGCATGCACGAATTCCCCATTTGGGGACCACTGCTCTAACTCAGGTTGTGGTCAGATGGCTGGATCGCACCAGGAAGTGTCACTTTAATGGGAGCGATCTCTCTTTAAATGATCTGCTAGGCCCTAGGGATTCATTCCAGCCCTGCCCCAAAAGTAGAAGCCCTGCATCTGGACAAAAAAGATTGAGCTTTATATGGATTGGGGTCAGGTTGGAGCACATTTTCCCAGGTGTTGTATGATCACCAGGAAACAGAACACACTGAACTGGTTTACAAGTGGTCCAAACTGCAATTATTCCCCAATGTGATCACACCCTGAGTTAGTAAGATCTGATTAACATTAGTTAGGAAAATAACTGAATCACCTGAACAGAGACAAGTTACTTTTAATTTAAAGTTAAAATGAGCCCAACTATGCATCATGGAAATACCAAGATTTACTTGGAGTAAGTCCCATTCTGTTGAGCATTTCAGCCTCTAAATGTGCTCTCATATTTAACAGATGTCTTATTATGTGTGAAGTAGGTGACTAAAAGACTGCAGCTCTAATAGTTCATTTTACTTTTTCTAAGTAGCAGCCTATTTTTTTTTTAGCAGAGAAGATACTGTGAGTGATGGGGAGCCATAGTGATTTGCTCATGGTAGCCTGATTAATTTTTCCTTCGAGAGTGACAATCCCTTCCACACTGAAGACAAATACAATCTGTCCCCTGTCCTGCTCCCTGACTTTTCTAGAGACCTGAACTTTAATTATTTGTAATGCATTTCTTTCTGCAGTAATTGAGGTGTATATTATGATTGAAAGTCAAGAGATAACGTCCAAGTTTGTGTCATACTGAATTTGATGTTTAAGGTGTCACTCACAATACTTTTATTATTTAGTGCATGCATATACTGTACTGCTGATAGTGCAAATAATTTCTCTAAGCGGTTTATAGAATAGCCTAAACAAATGGGTTACGAACTCATAAATGTTCTTCTCCATGGAAATTCTTAGTAAAAGGTGAAAGATTTATAGACTCTGAAGAAAAACCAGAGTACTTTTAGTTGTTTATACTGTTGTTGACAGCAGACATGTAGATTAACAAATCATTAGCTCAGAGTCTTTTAATTTATGTGCATGTATTCTTATTTGGTGCACAGAATAATAAACCTCATATACTACTGCCTTATATTACATATAAGTTAAAAACAGTTTTATAGAAATAATAAAACTGAGTATGACTTAAAGTTTCTGAATCTTCGTTTAAAGACAAAAGCAAGGAATGAAACTAAAAATTAAAGAAAAATGATTACGTGTACTGTGGCCTGCTAGAGGTTATATCACCAAAAAAATAAAATAAAATCAGTTTGTTTTTAACCTGGCACACAACTTTTCGCTCGGCTGCAACAGACCAGCGCCTCGGATTACTTCCGCCATACACTGGCGAGAAAGTCATAAATACGAGGCAGGCGGGAGCGAAAACGAATTGGACCTCTCCGGACACCGAGGCAAGAAGAGCAGACAGGGCCTACACGGGCTCGAAAGCCCCGCTCCCGCTACATAAAGAAACCTTCAAAATTATATCTTATTGGTGTTTCGTGTGCGTGCGCAGACTTGAAGAAAACTATTTCATAAGCAGGGGCATGCGGCGGACCTCGCCTTCTCTCTTCCCCTTCCCTCCTCTCAGGGCGCCCTTTCCCTCAACAAAGATGGCGGCGCCAGCCTCTTTGCTCTGGCGGCGGCGAAGGAGGGCCGAGGT